AGGTGACCGACTCTGTTTTAGCATTGGAGGTCCTACATCTTAGAACCCCCTTCAGGTCGAACTTAAGCCAGACAGCGGGTCTCCCCTGAAGCAGTCCTGTCAAGGATCCAGAATGAGGAATGACCTTCGACATGAACAGTGTGGTTTGCATGGGACGTGAGTAACTTGGGTGCTGGTGTTGGAGAGGCCAATGAATGGCCGCTCACAGAGGAACACGCAAGAACACCAGGGATTCGGGCCAGGAACCTAGGAGGCAGGCGAGGAGGTGACTCTGTGGCCACGCAGAGATGGTGAAGGGGATGGCTTGGCAGTGGGAGGTGAAGGAGAGGAAGAGCCATAGAGAATGGCCACATTCTGGCTTGGGGACCAGTAGGTTGTCTCAGTGAAGACTGGATGTCAGCTGAGGGGGTGGCTCAGAGGAGAGCCCTCAGGGTGGCCAGCCGCCAGACTGCTCTTTCTCCTTGTCCTGCTCTGGTCACTCTAAGGTTCCCTCCTACCCTGTCCTCTTCACTGATGTGAGGGCACCCCACAGCTGGGGGAGGGGGACCAGGCTGAGGGTTGGATGCAAAATCATGCATGGTGTCCCCTCCTTGCTAGGGATGAGGCCTCATATCTGGTCGTCAGTGAAGCCTGGTGCTGTCGAGGCACAATTTCTTCCATCTGAGGACTCAGTGACCTGCTGACTTGCGAGAAGGCAGGTCATAGCACCTGGGGTGGGGTGAGGCACGAACACTTGCGGGTAGAGTATCGGCTAAATGAGCAACTGTGCCGTCCATGCTGAGCAAAGGAGGGAGACCGGGAGGGGGCGGGTGGCCCAAGAGATGCTGGAGGTTTTCGTTAAGGCAGAGACAGCTAATGGTTTCTCCAAACCTGTTTCTTCTGCCTGTGGAGCTCTGCTTATAGCCTGGCCCATTTCCCAGCCTCCTTTGCAGCTAGGTTGGACTTATAGCTAATGGGATATAAGTTAGAAGTGTCAAGGGCAACTTTGGGGAAGGGTCCTTAAGAGGCAGAGGCATTCCTTTCTTTGCTCCTTACTCCGCCTTCCGGCTGCAGGCATGCAGACGTGATGGATAGAGCTTGAACAGCTCTCTTGGACTATGAGGAAGTAGAAAGAGACCGAAGATGCCCTAGTAGCGAGACAGATCGAGCTCAGGATCCAGATGGCCTCAGAAAGGCCCTCCTCTAGCCTCGGACTGCCTGCCTCTGGACTTCTTTCATGTAAGAGAGAAATAAACTTTTCTCCGATTTTTGTCCACCGTTTTCCTCTTCTAGTCCCTTTTGACACACACGGCTGGGCTTCATCCTAATTGGGACATCGTTGTAGGTGGAAGAGGCTTTCAGCAGTGAGGGGGTGAGGTGGTAGCTTGAGGGGTCTGGGTTAGCACAGGTCAGAGTGATGACAAGATCCCAGTGTGGGCTGGGCCTGGGCAATGATGTAGTCAGGCCGAGCATCCCTGGGGAGAAGGTGGTGCAGGAATCTGGAGGCTGTAACATGGACCTGAGGTCTCCTGGGAGGTGCAGAGGAAGAGGGAGTGGGGAGGGAGGCACCGGGGCTGAGGAGGGCACGGAGGTGTAGCAGCCTGTCTTGACCGTGAAAAGAGGCAGCCTCGTGATGGGCAAGTGGAAAAGTCACAGCCAGAGAGGGACACGGAGCCAGAAGACCCCAATCTGTGCTTGCCCCATGGGACCTGTGAGAGTGGGGGTCCCTGAATGGGGCTGGGTTCAGTGTCAGTTAAGATGCCAGGGCTGTGTCCACAGAAGCTGAGGGTGCAAAGGGACACTGTGAAGATACAGTGGGGGCAGGTAAAGGAATGAGGGCTCGACGCGCTTGGTGGTTTGGATGCTGGGAGAAGAAGGGAAGAGTCTGGGTTTGACCCCCAGAACTCCTGAGACAAAGGTCTGGGCGGGCCCCGGACATCAGAGAAGCTTCCGGATTCCTCTTCAGGTTACCTCAGAGAGAGTCTGATGTTCTCCATCAGACGGACGCCAGTTCCAATCCTGGCCCTGCCGCCTTCTAGCTGGATGACCAACGAGCCTCAGTTTCCTTTCCCGTAAAACGGAGAAGGAAGAGGCTGCTCCGTGGAGGCTGATCTCAGCAGGGACCGGCACGTGCAAAGCCCCCAGGCAGGGGTGGGGGTGGTTTGGCATGTTTGCCGAACTGCGACAAGGCCTGAGCTGGCGGAAAGTTCAGAGATGACGGCAGAGCCAGCTCATCTTGAGGTCAAGACGAAGAGTCTAGATTTTATTATAAATGCCCTGGGAATTCCTAGAAGGTTTCAAATGGGAGTGGTGCAGTGAAATGACCTGATTTGGGTTTCGGAAAGATCATTCTGGCTGTTGAGTGAAGAATGGACTGGAGGGGCTCAAGGGCAGAAACAAGGAGGCCAGCCAGGGGGCTGTCAGCTGGGGTGGGGGTGGGGGCTGCATGAAGCACTTGCACTTCTGTGTGCACCTGCTCACCACCCCGGCCTCGGGGCCTGAGTCTGGTATGCCCTTCTCACCACCCTTAACTGGGGTACTTTCTATAGTAGGGTAATGGCCACTCACTGCTGAAACAAGAACCTTCCATTCTCAGAGGCCCAGCACAGTGTAAGTGTATTTCTTGATCATGTCATAGTCCAATGTGGGACTGTCCACGCTTCACATTGCTCCAGTGGATTCCTGCGGTGGGTGGGGGGAGGGGAGGAGGGGAGGAAGGGGAAGAGGGGGATGGGGGAGAGAGAGACACAGAAGAGGATCAAAGGTAAGGGTTTCAGGACTGGAAGCAGACCAGATCACTTCCACCCACATCCCACTGGCTCGACTCAGTTCATGGCCCCAGCTAACTGCAAGGGAGGCTGGGACATGGTGTCCAGCAGATGCCCAGCAGGAAGGGGCTCAAAGACCTCACCTCTGCACCGCGATGCATCCCCTGGGAGAGAGAGACACAGAAGAGGATCAAAGGTAAGGGTTTCAGGACTGGAAGCAGACCAGATCACTTCCACCCACATCCCACTGGCTCGACTCAGTTCATGGCCCCAGCTAACTGCAAGGGAGGCTGGGACATGGTGTCCAGCAGATGCCCAGCAGGAAGGGGCTCAAAGACCTCACCTCTGCACCGCGATGCATCCCCTCCAACGTGCATCCACAGCTGAGGTTTAGGTGGAAGATGCTAGAACTGTGCAGTGCTGAGGCTCTCCTGGCTCAGCATAGCCCACCCTCTGCCTTTCCACGAGGTATCCTGGCCTGAGCCCCTTGGCAAAAGCAAGACCCATGGGGCCTGGGGTGGGAGACGCTTTCCTTCCCCTGTTCAAGGGGCCTCGGCTGCCGTAGGCTACACTTGCTGCGTCCCCTCCCCCAGGGCATCTGGCTGGTTACAGCCACCTCCCCTCCCTGCCCTCGTCCTATTGTGGCTTGTGCCACTCGTAAAGGGGGTCCTGTGCCAGTCGCCTGAGGCTCCTCTGCACCTAGCCTGGATGCTGGGACATCTTAGGGGCCTAGCAAATGAATGGAAGTGGGAAGGAAAGAGGGCTGGAGGAAGCAGAGCCTCCGGCCGTACGTGCCAGGCAGGCCAACGCCATCCCCTGCTGTTGGCAGAAGCTGGGTTCGTGATTTCTGGCTTCGCCGGGGCATGTATTTTTTTCTTTATTTGTGTTTTTAAGTTTTAACTGAATTCATGTATTCTGGGGCAGGAAATACATTCATGCAGTACGAAAGGGTCTATGGTGAAAAACATCCTTCCTACCCCTTCCTCGCCTGGCTTTCTCTCCCAGGAGAACCATCATTCCTGGTTTCTTGAGAAGCCTCTAGAAATATTCCAGGCGAAACAGGTCTCGGCCAATATTCTCATCTTGGTGGTGGGTGTGTTGTTACACTGTCCAGCAGCCAGAAAGCTTTGCTCGGGGGAAGAGAGGAGGTCAGGTGGGAGAGGAACTGGCCTTTGGTGCAGCCTGCTGTCTGAACTGTCACCCCCTCAGTTCACGGGTGTGGACACAGAGGCTCGGGGAGGCAGAGTCGCTCAGCTTCCAAGCAGCCTGGAACCAGGTCTTCTCAGCGACATCATCCTAGTGCTACTTCCTGCTCCGAATGGAGTCGGGCTTGATTCTCCCCTCAGGGTCCTTAATTCTGCCTTTTCGCTTCTATGCAGACGGGGGTCAGAGCTGCCCTGCGCACACCCCCTCCTGCTGGCCTTATTCTCTTCTTTGAAAGAGGCATCAGCTTCTGAGACCTCCTTCTGCCCCCCAGGAGAAAGGGAGAGGGCAGAGCTGCTGCTTCTGGATGCTGGATGGAACTTCACAGGGTCCCTGGGCCTGTGACACTGAATGTAAATGGACGGGCACTTTTCTAAAGAGGAGTCGATACGTTTTCATCATTTAAAAAAGCCCTGTGCCGACGACCTCCTCTTCCACTCCCAAAAGAAAGAGGGGGAAAAAAAAAAAAAGATTAGGAGCCATGACATGAGAGGAAGAGGAAGGTTCTAGAATGTTCAATAAGTGGCCATCGAATTGTTCACAGAGCCCCGAAAAGGAGTCACCTCTGAAGGCTAAACTGAGTAAGGAGCTTCCTGGAAGTCTGAGTGAAGAGAGAGGTCTCAGAGAAATGGGTTCGACAGAAGTGAGCCGCGCCGAGGACACCTAAAGGGACATGTTTGTGTGAGGCCTGGGTGTTAGCGGGTGTATGTGTGACCCAGATGAAGGTGGCACAGACTTGAGATGGCCTGTGTGAGATGGGGCGGGCGTGGCGTGGGGAGAAAAGAAGGGGCTGCACCCCCTTGGGCTCTTGTGTGCAGCAAGGTGCCTATTTGAAAGCGGTTGTGTGTGTGTGTGTGTGTGTGTGTGTGTGCGCGTGTGTGTGCAAGCTGCCACAACCCCCCCACACACACACACCCCCAGTGGAGGAGGGAGATCTTTATCTAGTCTAGGTGCTTTGGGAGTTTCAGTCCCGCCCCCCCTACCCCAGGCCTTGCCCCCTCCAGGAAGTGGGTTGTAGTCTGTGCTGGCCGCATCTGTCTGCTACCTGGGCCACCAGAGCCAGAGCAGGGCCCTGGGGAGATGGCTGTGGTCCCAGCAACGGAGAGAACCAAAGAGACCGTGCCGCAGCCCCATGTCTCAGCCAGGTAACACCCTGCCTGGCCCTCGCCCGGCCCCGGCCCAGTCCCCAGGTACCAGCAGCTCCCTCATGGCCCCTGCTGCCAGCCCCGAAGGAGCTGAAAGGAAAGGTCACGGGGATGACTTCAGCTCTATCTGAGGTCCCCCGGCGGTTTCTGCCTGAAGGTCTCTCTCCCAGCCCTCCCCACCCACCTGAACTTAGAATCCCCCTGAGGACAAGGCAGACCCTGCTCTCGTGGCTCCTGGCTCGAGAAAAAGCTGGTCACCAGTCTGAGGCTGCCCCTTCTCCCCTGGGGAGGCTGGGGGCTGCTGTGGGACGAGGGGACTCCCAGGGCCCTGGGCTGGGCCCCCAACCCAGAGAGGTAAAGAGGGAGGTAGGAAGACTGGGAGGGGACGGCCACCTGAGCCTCAGATGGTCTGGGTTCTCAGAGAGGGCGCTGGGATGTGGGTGGGAGGGATTCAAGCCGCTTCCTGACGGCTGGGGAATGGGACCCACCCTGGGGAGGCCCCCTCTGTAAAGTGCTCCCCGAAGGGGCTTGTGGGGTGAGGGAGGAGGCCTGGCGGTGAGGTGTGGGTGCTGGGAGGTCCCTTAGCTGTGCGCCTGGGCAGGTCAGTAGTGCTGCAGGCACTGCCTGGGTGGATGGGACCCCCTCTCCGGGGCTGCATGGAGGGTACGCGCTCTCGCTCCTCTCCTGGGCGCCGACTGTTCTTAACTGTGTTTGGAGCACTGGGGGGAGCCATTCTCAAGGTCCCCTTCCTTCCCCCATACCCAGGACCCCGCACTGGTTGGGGAGGTGCCCCCCAGGGTGAAACAGCAAGAGGGAGCCACGTGAATGTATGTGGGTGGGGGCAGTGGCGGTCAGAGAGGATGAGCTGATGGGCCTGTCAAGTTCAGAAGTCAGGAGGGACACATCTCCGTCTCCTGAGCTCCTGCTCCACCTCTTCCCTCAGCCCCCATGAACCCCCACATTCCTCAGCATCCTCCCCACTGGGCCTCAATCTGCATCTGAGTTCAAACCCAGATCAATCTGCATCTGAGCTCCACCCACCTCTAGCCTGGGCAAGAGGCTTCTGTGTGCCTCTGTCTCCTCATCTGAGAAAAAGAGTCATAATAGTACCTACTGGGAGGGTTGCTGTGGGGATTAAATGAGGTCGTATATGCAAAGCGCTAATGACCACGCCAGGCACCGAGTAAGAGCTGAGCATTAGTCACCATCGTCACCGTCATCGTCACGGTCATTATCGTTGTCATCGTCATCATTATCGGCATCTTCTTTTAACTTGAAATCAGATGACTTGGTTCGAGTCCAGCCCCTTGGGCAGCTCAGCCCATCAGCCCTGGCGTCTATCAAAAAGGGGACAGTGACACCCACCTCGAAGCTTGTGGTGGGGACCTAATGAGTCAGTCAATGTGAATGGCGCTTCAGCCGGGAAGGGCGCACGTGGATGTGTGTGAGAACCCGGGACAGAGGTGCTTGGGACTCTGGGGTCTGACTTGCCCTCCTTGAGGATGGGCCTCTTCCTCGCTCTTGACCTTGAGCGGGTTTCCTAACCTCCCTGAGACTCAGTTTCCTCTTCCTCGGAGACTGCTAGGGGGCCTCCCAGCCCCCACCCCTCTGGCACACTCCACGCTCTCCCGCCCTGTCCTGCTGTCTGTCCCTCCATGTCCTCCCCTGCCCCCCACCCCGTGCACTTTGCCCTCTCGGTGTATGTTGCTGCATCCTTTCGGCTGGGGTGGTGGGGAGCTCATTCCAGACGATGCTGCTTCTCCTGCCCGGCTCTCCACCGCCAGGGCTGTGGTTCGGCTCCGACTTTCCTGCGATCTTGCCTTTGCCCCCCGCCTCCTCTCACCCTGGGGCTTTGTGCCAGGCCCTGTGCTGGGCATGGGGTTGCCTGCTGGCTGGGGCCTGGCCCAGGACAACACTCTCCAGGGGATAAACAGTGCCTGTGCCCCAGAGTTGTGATCAAGTGACTAAGGGGAACATGGGGGGCTTGCTGGAAGCCCTTTTGCTGGGCTCTGTACCTTTTGGGATCCTAACCCCATGCCCTGTGCTATTTGGGAGGGTCCAAAGAAAGAGACAACCAGCCCTACCCTGGGGAGCTCACCCTCCTCTGGGGAAGATGGGTTGGACAAGGAGGAGCCCACGGATGCCTCTCTGGCCTCCTTCCCACGCCGAAGCCAGATGTTGGCCTGTGCCCATGTGGGCCCTGACTCCCTGGGGCAGGAAGGCTGTCGGCCTTACCTCTGGGACCAGTGCCTGGGACAGGCTGGGCAAGGTGGGATGGCGTGAGAGAAGGCGCCTTGGGATGGAGCCTGGGGATCGAATCCTAGCTCTGCCTCTCTTGCACATGTGACCTTGGGCAGGTTAATGACTTGGAGCCTTAGTTGCCTCATCTGTGTAAGGGGATAGTCCAAGCACCTGCCACCCCCGGCTGCCGGGCAGATTAATTGAGCCAGTGTACACACAGTGCTCAGCACACACCGCCAAGTATTGTTCTGAGGTCACCAGGACGTGTTCATTGATTGCGCGAACTATCTCAGTGGGCGGGAAGATACAGAGAAGTTACAGGAGGGGGCCCCGCCTGGGCTCTGGGCAGTCCGCCCTGGCTCCGATCCAGGTCTGTCTCTTACCAGCTGTGTGGCCTTAGGCAACTTGCTTCACCTCTCTGTGTCTGTTTCTCCATCTGAAAACGGGGGATAAGAAGAGTATTTCCAATATAGATGCTCTTATTGCTGTATTTAAAGAGTTTAAAACAGAACCTGGCATATAGGAACGCTTTGACGAGTGGTTTTGGTGTAGTTCAGGGGCCGCAGGATAGGGAAGAGGTGGGCTCTGATCCCAGCCCTCTGCTGGCCTCCCTAGGTGGACATAAGTAAATGTTTCCCTTTCCTAAGCCCGTTTCTCCAATTTTGAACAAGGGGTTGGGTTTGCTCAGAGAGCCCTTTCAGCAATGACAACGTGCAGGTCTCCGAATCTCTGAAGGAAGGGAGTGAGCGTGCATGGGGCCGAGGGACCAGCAGGTACAAAGGCCCTGACGCTGGACCGTGTGGCGTGATGGGGAGGACACCTGCTCGCCCTGGGCCGGGCAGGGCCGGCCTGCCTCCGGGGAGGGAGGGACGCGGGTGGGTGTTCACGTGTGCTCTCCCCCTCTCATCTTTCCTCCAGGGCTCCCTTCCCCAGCTCCCACCTGCGGATGTGATGGCGGCTCCTGCTCTGTCCTGGTGTCTGTCCCTCCTCGCCCTCCTCCTGGCCCTGGCCGTCCCTTGGGTGTCCACAGCAGAGAACGGTGAGCACCCTGACATCTGGACAGCTGTGCTTTCCCTCAGGGATGAGGCCAGGGCCTTTCTAGAGCCCTCCCGGGACCCCTGCTTCCTGGCAGAAGGCCCATCATCAGGGGCAGAGGCAAGAAGGAGGAAGACAGGGGCAATGAGACCAGAGATCAAGTGTCCAAGTCTCCCCTTTGCCCTCCGTCCTGCCCCACTCTATCCGCTTGCCTCTCTGAGCCACAGGAAGATGCTGGCTTTTCAACCCTGCCCTGCCTCAGCCCGCCTGAGGAGAACTTATAGGCTATGGGGCTCAGTTTCGCTCTCGGAAATGGGTCCACTAACCCCTTTTCTGCCCGCCAGAGTTGCCTCCCTCCTCATCTGGTAGGCATGGGTGCTGGCTGAGAGAAGGGGCGGGGGGCAAGCCCCGGAGGGAAGGTCCATGGGGACTCTGCAGCCACTCACGTCTCATCTTGCCGGCAGACACTTCCAGGTTCACATGCTTCTACAACTCCAAAGCCAACATCTCCTGCGTCTGGAACTGGGATGGGGGCCTGCAGCCTACATCCTGCCGCATCCACGCCCAGCCAGATCAACGGTGAGTGTGGGGTCGACAGGCAAAACTTCAGAATCGCAGGGTGGTGGGATCTTATCATCACTGATGTTTAGCCTCTTGGAACCCTAACTCTCAGACTCCAAGACAGTTGCACTTCAAGAATCTTGGACTAATAAGACCCACAGAGTCTTGGTATCACCGGAGTCTGGAAAATTTGGGAGTCAGATATTTAGGCTCCTGGAACCTGGATGGGAATGGGGTATGGGAATCCAGGCTAGAGACGAACTGGATAAGGTAGACTGAGGATGTGGGCCTTTGAGCCTCCTGCACTTGACTTTAGAGGCAAGGGCCGGGGGAAGGTAGGGAGCTCTCCAAGCTTTGTGAGTCATCTGGGATTTTGAGAGACCCTCTAGGGCAGCTGTAGGGACAAGGGACTGAGGCGTGGTTGAGAAGCTTGAGGGGTGGTGGTGGGAGTTGACGAAGGGATCTCTGTGATGCAAACATCCTGCTGGCAGCAGCAAAGCTGGCTTTGGGTTTGTCCCTGCCTCCCATGGGGCTCCCAAGGCCCAATCAAGCCCCGGGGAACACTTCGCAAGGCTTTAGGTGGGGAGGCCAGGTGTCCTGAATTGGTTTGTTTCTAGAAGGTCAGTCTGGCTGCTGTGGGCCAGGCTGGGGTGGAGGGGGCAGAGAAAGCCTGTGAGGGAAGCTGGAGCAGGTTGGGGAATCGGTGCCTCTGAGAGGTTGGCATAGAGCACCTGCACAAACTGGCCTCGCCGCATGGGGGACCATCCCAAGGGCCAGCTCTGGGGTCCCTCTTTTGCTTCTAAGGAGGTTCTTTTGCCTTGACAGGCCCTGGAACAAATCCTGTAATCTGCTCCAAGTGGGGCCGTCATCCTGGGCCTGCAACCTGATCCTCGGACCCCCAAATGTGAGTATCTGTAGCTGAGGGGAATGGCTGAGGGAGGGTGAGTGCCAAGGGGTGCCCTTCCAGGAAAGGAGCCGGGGCCTGGCAAGCCCAGTGGCCAGCAAGCTGCAGTGCAGAGGGCTGCCTGGGGCTGGGAGGCGAGAGGAAGGAGGGCAGTGTCCGAAGGCCAGAACTCAGGCCTGACCTGGGGGGACGGATGCGTGCGGCACAAGGCTCACGTTCTGCCTTTGCTCCTACCGTCTCCTTCGTGCTGTGGGTCCTGCGACTCTTCTGCAGTCCTCATCAAGTGGGGCGAGCACCCCAGTAATAATAACAGCCACACATCCAACTCTTCCTGATGTCGTAGCAGGTGCAGGGTGGTATGGGGTCAGGAGTGTGGATCCCGGAGCTGGATGGTCTGGGTTGCAGCCCTGACTTCACTATATACCAGCTGGGTGGCTTCTACGCCTCACTTTCCCCTTCTAGAAAATGGGAACGATAATGGCACCTACCTATAGGATGGATCTGAGCATTAAAGCACTCAGAATCCCACCCAGAGGAGAGCATACACTTGACACAATCGTCAGTAGATTCCTATGACGCGGGGTGGGCACCAGCATTGTCCCCTTAACTGATAAAGAAACTGGGGCTCAGAGGTGTGGTCCTTGCCCAAGATCACACAGCCAGGGAGTGGCTGAGCTGGAATTGAACACAGGTATGTCAGCCCAGACCTTTCACTACGGCACTAGGCTGCCTCTCGAAAGGCAGGTGGCCATCTCCATGTAGGTATACAGTCAATGCTTGCCTGTCAAACCCTCCTTGGCAGCAGCGGGCACTGGGGATGCCCAGACCACACTTCCCAACCATCACCAAGTTTATGCATTCTCAAGGGGCAGGAGAGGGTGGAGGTGGGTTTGCCCAGTGTAGCTGATCAAGGCGCAGCCTCTGGAACCAGACTGTCTCCGAGAACTCTGCGGGTGGTCTGGCTTCAGATCCTGGTCCCACCTAGCTGTGTGACTTTCCTAACTGTGTGACCCTAGGCAAGTCCCTAAGCTTCTCTGTGCTTCTGTCTGCTCAGCTTTCGGATGAGATAATAATAGTGCCTGTCTCATATGTTAAGCGCTGAGGAGAGTGCCTGCCACAGACTAAGTGCTCAACAGAATGTATTATTGGCATCTTTACAACAATAATAGTAATAATAATAATGATAATGCTATTATTATCTGGGAAAATCTAGCCCCCGTTGAAGCTGGAAGAAGGCTGGGGCAGGGTCCTCGGGGTGTAGAGGGAGGAATTATTCTCAGCCCTGGGAACTCTGATGATCAAGTTTAAGGTTTACTCAAAGCGGGCCCTACAGCAGGTCAGATGGACTGTGCCTTTGGCCCTGGACCTGAAAACAGCATCCTGGGCCCCAGGACACGGGTCCTAACTGGGCCTGCACTAGAGCTGCCTCCTGCAGCGCTACCCTCGGCCACAAGCTGCTCACTCAGCAGCCCTCGGTCAGGCATGACGGGCCAGGGCTGCAGTTTCTGTGGGGCCGTGGACACAGCCCAGATTAGAATCTGGGTTCCCCTGCTGACCAGATGCGTGACTTTGGGCAAGGCCCTTAACCAACCTGAGCCTCAGGTGTCTCGCTTGCAGGATTGACAGCTGTGAGAATCAGCCAGAGAAGAGGCTAAAGCACCGGAGCAGGGCCTGCCCACAGATGCTCAGTACTGGGCCATTTCCTTCCAGAAAAGTCAGGGTGTAGAGGTGGGGAGGGATGGGGGAAGGGAGGCTTTCACACACAAAGCTATGACACAGGTACGGTTCCAGCCCTGAGCCTTCTCGGAAGCTCATTCTGCTTGTATACCTCTTGTGATGGGAAACTCCTTCCCTCACAGGGCAGCTCACCTCACTTTAGATACGGGGTTGACGAACTACTGTGGCTCACGGGCTAAATCCAGCCTGCCGTCTGTCTGCTTTTATAAATAAAGTTTTCTTGGCACAGAGCCACACCCATTCTCTTACATGCTGTCTGTTGCAGAGTTGAGCAGTTGTAACAGAGACCACGTGACCTGAAAAGCCATACATTTTTACTACCCAACCCTTTACAGAAAGAGTTTGCTGACCCCGACCTTAGACAGCACTGCAGCCTTGGTTTCCTCTCCCATCCACCGGTTCTTCCCTTGTCCTCATTCTCACAGGTCCTCAACCCCACCCCGGCTGCTGGCAGTAATGTCCCTGCCCCACTTCCCTTGCAGGCTCAGAAACTGACCGCAGCGGACGTCATCAACATGATAGTGATGTGCCTCGAAGGGAAGACGTGGAGGATGATGACGACCCAGGACTTCAAGCCCTTTGACAACCGTAAGTTTGGAATCCAGGCGAGCCTGGGGCGCGGGTGGGCATCTCCTTCCCTATCTTCTCTCTGGGATTGCACCGTTCCGGTCTTTCTCCATCAGCTTCCACAGCTCACCAGCTCCCTGCCCACTGCCCTCGGGGTGAAGTCCCTGCTCCTCACCCTGTCATTCAAGGCTGCTCGGAATTCTGCCCGGTTTCCCTCGCCAGCATCCCCCTCCGATGGCCTATATTCCTGCTCTCTGAACTCATCTTCCCTATCCATGCCCCTGAGCCCTTGCACGAACTGGTCATAGCCTGGAAGGCTCTTCCCACCTGGAAAATTCCCACTCACCCTTTTAGGCTCAGTGAAGAGTCACCTCCTCCAGGAGGCTTTCCCAGACTCTCCCAGCCCTCCGTACCTCCTCTTTCAGGATGTTTATGTCCTGGGTCATCCCTGCCTGATTATGGGTCTGCTTCCCTCACTGGGCTGTGAACTCCTGGAGGGCAGAGCTTCTGCCATCCCTATGTCTCCGTTCTGAGTACTCAGCACCAGGTCTGACCTGGGCAGGGCTCTGGGAAGGTTTGCTGAATGACTGAGTGCCTGGCCCCAGCCCCAGTCATTCCCGTTTCCGCCTGGAACTTGGGAGCCCTCTCTGTGGAGGGGGTGGGGCAGAAGGTGAGATCCGGGCAAGGAACTAAATGCAGCTCCGCCTTAACTGGGTGTGACCTGACTGGCAGATCATTTAGCATGTCTGAGCCTCGGTTTCCTCATCTGTAAATGGGGGATAACCAGTGACCCGCTGTGCCTGATTGTTGTAAAGCACCAATGAGCCAAGACTCAGAAACTGCTCAGTACGTGCTCAATAAACATTCGCTTCTTGTTATTTGAGGAGTTCTACAGTCTCAGAATTATAAAAACTTAGGCCGACTTAACTTCAGAGATTATAAAATCTCATAATCGTATAAGATTAATGACATGAAATTAAAAAGACAATCCATGTAAAGCTCTTAGATTATTTCCGAGTGCAGAGAATGATTCATTTGTTTAGCGGATATTTAATTAAGTTCCTACGTCTTGCCACGTAATGGTTCTCGGCACTGAAGACACACGAGAGAACCAAGTTTCTGCCCTCAGTGAGCTCACAGTCTGGTGCGGGAGACAGTGAATAAAGAAATAAAAATAGATATTTGATATGTCAGGTAGTAATACGTGCTAGGAAGAAAAATAAAGCAGGCGAGGGAGTGGAGCGTGTCGGATGGCTGGGGAAGGCTTCTCTGAATAGGTGACATTAGAGTGTGACCTGCCAAGCTCTGGGGGAAGGGCACACCAGGAGGGAGAACTAGCAGGTGCAAAGGTGGGGGGGGCGTGTCTCGGCTTTATTATCTCAGCGTCATGATCCAGCATCCCCAATGCTCACTTTCCCTTTCTCTCTCTCGCCTTCAGTTCGCCTGTTTGCCCCTGACTCCCTCCGAGTCACCCACACAGGGACCCAGAAATGCAACATAACCTGGACCGTCTCCCAGTCTTCCCACTACATAGAAAACGACCTGGAGTTTGAGGTCCGGACGAGGCTCCAGGACCATAGCTGGGAGGTGAGTACATGGCCCGGTCTGACCTGCCCTGATTCCTCCTTCCCGTCCGGGTTGGCATGTCCATCCTTTACCTCAGCAAAGGCACAGCAGCCCCCAGGGAGCCCCTATTGCTTCTCCGTACCGCCTGCTCCCGCCTCCCCCTCCCTTCACATGTCCCGTGACAACCCAGGGGTTCCAGCTGGTGGTGAATTCCAGGCTGGGACTAGGGCAAGATATACGTAACCAAGAGGCAGGCAACTGCCCTCTCCGTGAGATTTCAGAGGCCCCGGGATGCCACCTCGACACTCTTCAAATCCAGCGTGGTCCAGGTCCACAGGGGTCTGTTCTTATCCATTCACTCATTCCTCTGTTCACTCACTCAGTCACTCAACAAACGTTTACTGAGTACCTACTATGTGCCAGACACCGGGAAGAGAGTGAAGGGCAAGACTGATAGGTTTCCTGCTCTCAGGAAACTCACACGGGGTGGGGAGGCGCAGACAGTCAGCAAACACAGAAACTGGAGACTATGGAATATTGATCAATGCTATCGCAAAAACGAAATAGGATAACAAATCTGAGAGGGACTGGGACGGGCTTCTTCAGACTCAGGTGACCAGAGCAGGCTGCTCCAAGATCTGAGGGTCAAGGAGGAGCTGGCCCTGCAAAGATCTGGGGCAGGTTTTCTGAATGGAGGAAGCAGCCACTGCAAAAGCAAGACATTGCCTGGGCGTGTGGGGACAAGGGAAAAAGCAAGAGGGGGGATGTGGAGGTGGGAGGGGTCTGCGGAGAAGTCCCTCTTTCTGGTCGCGCACAGAACAGGCTGTAGAGAATGCAGTGGAGGCAGGGAGACCAGCTCGGGCCTGACAGGTGGTGGGAGACCAGACCCGGAGCGGGGAGAAGAGAGAAGGAAAGGTTCAGAACAGGTTCTGCAGGTGGAACCAGCCGATGGGCAGATGGCTTTGGATGGAGGGGATGAGAGGGAGGGGTTTAGGATGACCCTGGGGTTTGGGCCCCACCAACTAGGTAGTCAGGGAGTCTTTTGGGAGGATGGGGTGGGGGTGGAGTGGGGAGCGGCCGGAGGGAAGAAAGGAAGATGCCGCTTTGCTCAGCCTTCCAGCTGTGGGAGGGTGGGGGGCCCCCCTCTGCTCTGACAGCTCCGTCTCTACCCCAGGAGGCCTCCCTGTGGATTATCAAGCAGAACCAGCAATGGATCAGCCTGGAGACACTCCTTCCAGACACCCGATATGAGCTTCAGGTGCGAGTGAAGCCCCAGCTCAACAGCCACGAGGTTTGGAGCCCCTGGAGCCAGACCCTGGCCTTCAGGACGAGACCTGCAGGTACTAGTGGGCAGCAGGGGTAGAGGCAGAGCTCGGACAAGACAGGGTGGCTGGGGCGTGGCTCTGGGGGCAGCTGGGGCTACAGGGCTCCTCTGTCATCATTAGCTCACTTGATGGGACCGTGCAGGGTGGGCAGTGTGGGCATAATTGTGCCCATGGGAACAGGGACTCGGTGAGGGGATGGGACCTGCCTGTAACCTTGTGAGTTAGTGAGGAGGTAAGAGAGGCTCTTTCACTTTCTCCACCCCGAAACCTCAACTTCTGGTTTCTGGCATTGTTGGGGGTCGGCTGCTTTCACCTCTCAGCCTCAGTTTCCTCGTCTGTAAAGTGAAGTGAAGGCTGGGCTGCTGTGGCGAAGGCCTGCGCTGGCCCGTGTTGGCCTGACACAGAGCAGGTCTGTGGGCCGGCTGGGACTCTGTGAAGGTCTTGGTCAGAAGTCAGCCTGTCTCCCAGCACCAGGTCAAGGGTGAGGGGATGCTAGAATAATCTGGGTGAGTCGGGGTACTTCTCTAACCCCTTTCCTTGCTTCTCCCCGCCACGGGCAGAGAAGGAGACACTCTCCTGGCTGGGCCACCTCATGGTGGGCCTCAGCGGTGCCTGTGGCTTCGTCATCTTAGTCTACTTGCTGGCCAGCTACCGGCACCTTGGACTATGGTAAGAATGCTCCCCATCTATCCTGTGTGCTCCTCTCCCGCCCCGCAGCCCCTCACGCGCGCGCGCACACACACACACACACACACACACACATACGTGCACACACACCCTTTGCCAAGTCAGGTTCTGGGCTCAGGTCCCTACCTGGACACACCAGTGCTCCCTCTGCCCTCCCAAGGGTCCTCCCTGCCTCACATCTGGCTTTTCCCTATGACCCATCCCCAAAGATGGAACCCCATGGAACCAGCCCGAGGGGAGCAGGAGAGGGAGAGCCCCAGGGGTCCCTGCCCAGAGCATTACTCTCTGGAGCTGAGCAGGTGTGTGTGCGCGTGTGTGTGTGCACATGTGTATGTGCATAGACCGGCTGTCTGCGTGTGTCCTTGTGGGTCTATCTGGGTTTGGGCCTTCATTTGTTTATTTCTGTATCGACTGAGTCCAGCTCAGCGCCAGGTATGGTGCTGAGTGCTGGCGAAGCAAGGGTAAGCCACAGGCATGTGGTCCCATCTTCCCGGAGCTCACAGTCCTATGGGGGGGAAGGCACACACATAATGACACGCCGTGATGAGGACGGTGAAGGAAGGCACCGGGGGTATCGGAAGCAGACTGCAGAGAGCGGAACCTCGGCTGACGGTTGGCCGGGGACAGCTTCCCTGAGGAAGTGACGATTCCTTTGAAATCTGAATGAAGGAGGAACTGACCGGGCAGGGTGGTGGGATAAAGGGGTACATCCCGGGCACAGGAAATAGCATGCGCAAAGGCCTTGGGTGGGAAGTGGGGACAAGCATTCTGGAACCGAGGTAGGCGTGGCCGGAGCCCAGAAGAGGGTTGGGGGAGGGCTGGCTTGAGCCTGGATGTGTGGGCAGCAGCCAGGCTCTCGGGCCTCGAGGCTGGGGCATACGTTTTGACACAGAGCGTACACACACTGGGGTACTTGGCTTGGCAAGCAGCGCATGGGCTGGAATTCAGCCCCCACTCAACACCCCCAAACCAGGTGCTCTTGGGCAGTGCACACCCGGAACCACCGTCCATGGCAGCCTTGACCAGGAGGCCCACAGCCTGGCCTCTCTCCGACCTCCCTCCTGGTTCGCTCCGCTCCAGCCTCTCTGCCCCTGACCCCTCCGGCTCATGTGGTCCCCCACACCCACATTCTTCTCTGCCACAACACTTTGCTCTTTGTTGCCACAGAATAAGTGGTAACATTTCACACTTGGTTCTGTCTCTTCATTAGAACATTAACTCCTTGAGAGCAGGGGGCCCTTCTCTGTTGGCCATTCTTGTGTCCCTGGCGCCCAGTAACCTCCCTTCCTGGACATTCGATCCATATTGACTGAATAAATGAAGGAACGTGGAGTGGCTCCGTGCCCCGCCCTCTGAACCGTGGCTGACGGCAGGACACTGGCCCTCTTCGCTTCTAACCCTCTAACCTCTCCCCTGTTCAGGTTGAAGAAGGTTCTGAAGTGTCACATCCCAGACCCCTCAGAGTTCTTCTCCCAGCTGAGCTCAGAGCACGGAGGAGATTTCCAGGTAGGAATCTGGGGTGGAGGACAGAGCAGGCGGCCGACGCGGGCTGGCCAGAGCGTGGGCCGTGGTGCCAGCGGGCGGGGAGTGGTGCAGAAGTAGCGGGCTTTGCACTGTAGGCGAACACTGAAGTGAGCAGCCTCTGGGGCGGGCATGGGCCCCTTTCCCCAGCTCTGGTACCCGCACTCTCTGAATGGTACCTCCTGCGTGAGCCAGACGTCCTGGGTTCTAACCCTGGCTCCGCCACTTTCTGGCTGTGTAATCTTGGGTGAGTAATAGAACTTCTCTTTGCCTCAGTTTCCTCATCTGGAAGAGGAGGAGGAACATAGCGTTACTATGTGTCTGGCCCCGAGAACACTGCCTAGCACACAGTCAGTGCTCAGCGGGCCCTTGCTAGAGTTAATGTCACCAGACTGTCGGCCGAGCAGGTCTTGCCAGGTCCTCCCCATACCACAGAGCGCAGACTTGTGGTACAGTGCCCCCTCTACCCCTGCAAAGAATCCCAGGGGAGGCTCCATAACGTCTAAGGTCCTCTAGGCACTCCCGGCCACACACACACACATTCGTTTTTACGGTGCGGGTCCACGTAGTAGTGACACTCTAAACATCATTTAATGTTCCGTCGTCTCCCCTCCCCCAGCTCACGCTCACTTCAGGAAGGAAGCTTCAAGGGGAAGGGGGATGTGGTGGGCTGCTTCTGCCACCCTACCCAACCCCTGCCCCCGGCTCCCTAGATTTGGGGTGGGGGAGGGGACAAGGTGGGGGTGGAGGTAGGTCAGGAGGAGTGCTGAGGGGCTGGAAAGCCAGGCTGGACTGGAGCTGTCATGAGCTGGCTTCGGAGTTCTCTATCGGGGCTGGTCAGGGCCCCTTCTGGAATTCTTTGGAAAACTCTTAAAGACGGGATATCTTATCTATGGTACTAATGTAACCAGGGGAATGTAGCTCCTTAAAATTCTTCCTTCAGCCCTAAAGGGAGTGAGCTTCCCCATCAGCAGAGGTATACAAGCAATTCTTGGCTGACTAAATGTCAGAGACATAGCCGGAGAGACTCCTACATCGGAACTGGATGGAGGCTGGACTAGATGCCTTCCTGGTTCTCTTCCAGCTTGAAATCCTTCTGATTCTATGGGCCTAGGACATCTGAAGGTGGAAATGGGGTCCTTCCTAGACAGCTGCAAACCACTGCATCTTCCCACGAGGTCATCCTGGGTCTAGAGGCCTGCCTTAGGGCTAGTGTGTGGAGGAGGCTCTGGGGACTCACGATGTGGCCGGGGGTTGGGGCTGGCCAAGAGGGACCCCTCTCTTACCTGTGCATCTAGGTGGGAGGCCTGTCCCTCTCTCTCTCTACCCCAGAACTCCCAGCTGCAGGGCCATAGGCCTACAGCCTTGGCCATAGGACCTGGGAGTGCATGCAAGTGTGTGAGTGTGTGTGAAGGGGGACGCGTTTCCCCTTGTGCTCCCCTCAACTCCCCCCGCCCCCCCCACTTCAGGGCATCGTGGACGGAGGCACAGGCCCAGGAAGTGGCTGACCACACACACCTCTGAGGGGGCTCAGGGAGGCCTGGCACACCAGCGCTAGCCACAGGCCTGGCCTCTCCTTCCGGCCACGCATTCAGAGCTGCTGCCTGGCCCTGCCCTCCACTGCCTCTTCTGCTGTAGGGACCCCGCCCGACCCCACCCGACCTGCACCCTTTCCTCTCTCCAAGCCCGCTGCTCTTCCTTGCCATCCTCGGCCTGCATTAGTGTCTCTCTCCCTCGGCTTCTTCTGTAACACAAACTCCTGGTTTGGGGGAGGGGTAGATTTTGTCGAGAGATGTGTGTGTGCATGTGTGCCTATATATACGTGTGTGGGGTGTGTTTACGTGTGTGCACGTGCATCTGTATAATAGCCAGCACAGCCCCGGGAACTCACTCTGGGGAGGGACAACCAGGACATTTCTCTACTGGTCCATTAATTCATTTGACATATATTGATTGAGCCCCCAGGCCCCATGCTGGGCGCAGGAGGGGACCTTATCATTAGGCCTGGTCCCTGGCCTCTGGGGACCACAGCTGCTGAGGGCTCCCAGGACAGAGAGCTGTGGAGTTCTCAAATACACCCACTCGAGGACCCCATCATACCACCCTGAGGGATCTGCCACCCCGACACCTCTGTAGTCTGCACTGTACCCTGTGCCAACTGTTTCCACCTTCATTTTCTTACTGGACAGCACCCTGCCGGCCGACAGGGAGGAAGTAGGGAAAAGGCAGCTAACTGCTGGGGGACTGAGGCTCAGCGAGGTGCAGGGACCTGCCTGGGGTCACATAGCTCGTGAGAGACAGAGCTGGAGCCCAGTCTCCCCGCTTCTGGCCACGGCTCTCTGGACTCTGGAGCGATGAGAAGTGTTCTAATGGGGCTTTACTCTCCGTGGAGGGAGGGTGTGGGAAGTGGGGGGAACGCAGAACGCTGGGAGGAAGAGGTGAATTGGAGGACCCCACTGGAGATGTTTCCAGGGCAGAGTGAGTGTTGAGCTTGGGTCCCAGCTCTGCCACCAGCTGGCTGTGTGATCGGGGCCAGGGCATACCCTCTCTGGGCACCTGTAAGGTGAACAAGATGTGCTCTCGGGCCCTTTCTGCCTTGGCATTGGTTGTTTGGGGACACACTAGCACTAGTCCCAAACAGACACTGACATTCTACCCTTTGCCGTGTCCCTGGTACCTGGAGCAGCACCAGTAGGCACTCAGGAAGCAGTCACTCACTGAGCCAGCACAGTGCCTGGGCACCTGCAGTGGGCCGGGAAGGCCTATGCTGGGGCTGGGAAGCAAGCACCACCCTGGGCTGACCCAGAGGGTTTCCCAAGCCAGTGGGCAAGTGGGTGGGGTGTGGGGGGACAGTCAGGGAGGGCTTCCAAGAGTGGGCAGCCCTGAGCGGCTTGCTGCAGGAGGAGAAGGAGGAGTTAGTGGCTGCTGGGAATCTGGAGGTGTCCTACTCACCCTCTGCTGGTCTGTCTCCTGGCAGAAGTGGCTTTCCTCGCCTTTCCCCTCATCATCCTTCAGCCCCAGTGGCCTGGCGCCTGAGATCTCCCTGCTGGAGGTGCTGGACAAGGATGCCAAGGCCACACAGCTGCTCCTGCAGCAGCAGGACAAGGGGCCTTCGCCTGCCCTTGAGACCAGTGGCCACTCTTCACTGACCAGCTGCTTCACCAACCAAGGCTACTTCTTCTTCCACCTCCCGGACGCGCTGGAGATTGAGGCCTGCCAGGTGTACTTCACCTACGACCCCTGTGCCGAGGAGCCCGATGAGGGGGGGTCTGGGGCGCCTGAGGGGTCTCTCCTCCCTCCCCTGCCGCCTCTGCCAGCAGAGGACCATGGCTACTGCACCTTCCCCCCCGGGGAAGACCTGCTGCTCTTCTCCCCAAGTCTCCCTGTCGGCCCCCCAAGCACGACACTGCGGGGTGCCGGGGCCAGTGAAGAGAGGCGGCTTCCCTCCCTGCATGAGGGGGTCCCCAGAGACTGGGCCCCCCAGCCCCTGAGGCTTCCCACCCCGGGAGCCCCTGACCTGGTGGATCGCCAGTCGCCTCTGGAGGGTATACCAGGAGTAGGGGGAGAGGAGGGCCCAGCCCCTCGCCCTGGGGAGGGGGCTGGCTTCCCCTGGGCCGGCCCTCCCAGGCAAGGCCAGGTCAGAGTCCCCACATCCTGCCTGACGCTAAATACTGATGCCTACCTGTCCCTCCAAGAGCTCCAGAATCAGGACCCAGCTCACTCTCTGTAGGCAGACAGCCAGGGGTGGGGGGCAGGTGGCTGCCTACTGTTGCTCCAGATCCAGTTGAGGACTCTCTGTCCTCAGGTTTGTACATTGCTGAGACACTTGGTGTCCGGTTGCCCCAGGGACATCTCTGTCCAGATGGACCCCACCCAGCCCTGCACACTCGACCATTCACTTCCAAACCTCAACTGCTGCTCCCTGGGCCTACTGCCCAAGCCAGGAACTTTGACTGCTCCCCTCCCTTGCCAATCATGGGGTTCCCTGGGTTTTGCCTCTGAAGCATCTCTCCTCTCCAGCCTGTGGCTGCTCCTCAGGGAGAGTTCTCAGGGTTCTCCAGGGGTCTGCACCCCAGCCTCCTGATGGGGCTTCCAGCTCAGTGTCAGCCCCTCTCACCCACCCTCCACAGGGTGGCCCGAGCAGTCTTTCTGAAATGCAAAATGGCTGTGCTGCCCTTGTTTAAAACCCCGCTGTGGCTCTCCCCTGCCCTCAGCCCCACTTCATGGCCTACCTTTTGCCCCATCCGTATCATATTGGGTCATTTCCTTCTGGAACCCTCTCAGTGGTCCTCCTGGTTCCCTTGGAGCTTCCTCATGCCTCCACACCTCCCCTGGAGGAAACGCTGCCTCCCTTAATGTGCCCAAACCTTGAGTTTCAGTGCTGGAGGGACAAACTCTCAGGGTCACAGAGAAGCTGGACAGAGCAGGCCTTGGTATCTCTCCTGATCTCAGAATGCTTGGCTACTACATCTTTAGTGCTGTGGCCCAGGCATGGACACAAATCCCCTAGCAAAGTAGACAGCAGCTGGATCCTTCCCCAGCGGCTTCGGAGAGTCATCAGACATGCTGCTAGAAAGAAACCCGTCTTGGTGGCAGGTCCTGATGCTATCACAGGGAACCCACTCCTGGGCCCCTCCTACTCTACCTTCCACTGCAGGGTCTCTTCTGCAGCCCAGGAGCTGGCACACCTCCAGAAGGGCAGCTCTGTTCACTGCACTTGACACAGGGTGCTTGGCACCTCACTATGTTCCTCGGATGAGTTAATGAACTGCCTGGCACCATCTTGCCTGGGTTCCCTGTGCCCAGCTTCCTTCTCATAGGGGGCACCATCCACCTCACAGGAGCACCCTGGGCACCTTGACCCTTTTGAGGTCAAGACTTGGAGAGGCGAAGCCTCATGCCCACTAGCTTCCAGTATGCTGGCTCCAACAAGGGACTCTTCCCTTCACGTGGCAATCCTCCCCCACTCCCCACTTCCCTTGCAGGGGTCCCCACCACCCCTCTATTTCGTTTTCCTCTGTCCCTAGCATTGATCACAACTGTGATGTCTTCCATAATTTACCCTCTTGTTGCGGGGCGGGGGGAGTGTAACTCACCTTAGAATTCATTCTTAAGACAAATTCTAAGCTAGGAGAGCGCAGTGCCTGAATTTATAGACCCCACTCGCAGCTGATTGGGCATTTGACGCAAACACCGCCCGCCCCCCCGCACCGCAAGAGGCTTACCAGCATCCTATGAGGTGGCTTAGAAAAAAAGCTCTGTCCAATCAGGGAAGCCAGGCCTGAGCTGGCCAATCAGATTTCTTTGTCTTGGGTATTTGAACTCAGCGCGGGACTGAGGGCCTGGGAGCAGGTGCAAGTGGAAAGGGCACAGGGAAAGGCTGGTTGGGGGGCGGGGGGAGGGTAACTCAGCTTAGAATTCATTCTTACGACAAATTCTAAGCTAGGAGAGCGCAGTGCCTGAATTTATAGACCCCACTCGCAGCTGATTGGGCATTTGACGCAAACACCGCCCGCCCCCCCGCACCGCAAGAGGCTTACCAGCATCCTATGAGGTGGCTTAGAAAAAAAGCTCTGTCCAATCAGGGAAGCCAGGCCTGAGCTGGCCAATCAGATTTCTTTGTCTTGGGTATTTGAACTCAGCGCGGGACTGAGGGCCTGGGAGCAGGTGCAAGTGGAAAGGGCACAGGGAAAGGCTGGAGAGGAATTGAACCCTGGCTCCTGATACAGAGACTCCTACTACAGGGTGGGGAGCTACTGGCTGTTCATTCAGGATTCCTGTTTTCCTTATGCCCAAAATAAACTCCCCTTTCCTACGATTGCTTGAATCTTGGATTCTCACCACAGAATAGCTTAATGATCCAGAGGTTTCACTTCCCACCTCACGATACCCTATGTTCTGGGCTGCAACGGTCCTCAATTCTGGCCTGAGCCTCGGACCCCAGCTCCGTGCCCAGACCTGTCCTGGGGTAAACTAGGAAACCTCTCTGAAAGTTACTTTCCACTTTGCAGAATTCTTGGGAGGCTTACATTTCTCAAGCAGTGGTCATTTGTATCACATATATTTTTAATGATCAGTGTGTACCATTTTTTATTTTGTTTACTTAATATTTTTCTTTAAGCCAATTCATTTTTTTGTTGAAATACTTCTATTTAAAGAAAAAAGATATATTACTTCTGTAAGTGGAAAAACTGATATTCACTATAAATAAAAGGTAACTACAAAGAGTAAATATAATAAAAAGAAATGTTTCTGTTCACTGCCTGCTGGAAATCTGCTGTCTCTTAGTTTAAAGGGGAGATTAGCAAGGGTTGGGAAGCTGTTGAAGAGATGGTAGCACCAAACGGAGTCCCCCTCCTTGAGGAAAAGCAAAAGAATTGTGAGGTGAATATCTTTTTCACTAATTGGAGTCAGTTTTATCGTATCCTGTGTTTAGATACCATCTGACATGGTCTCATGGGAAAATATTGTACTTGATTTTTATATACATATACAATTTTTTTAAAAAAATAATTTTTCAATGCCCTTGACTCTGAAAAGTTGGATCAGATCATGGATGGCAATATCTGGCATCCATAAAACAGCGTTCGTGGCGGACATTGCTAAATGATATGGCCCTCGTCCCTCCGAAGCTTGGGTGCAGCTCTAAATTCTGTTGGCAGGTCCCGATTAATCATAGCAGACACCTGGTGATAACCCTTAAGGTCCCTTCCACAACAGAACCTCAGGTTTTCCAGGCAGGAAAAACAGGCTGAGATGATAGAGGCTGGAAAGCTGAAAGGCACCTAGGAGCAGGCACTCCGAGGGCATCCGGCTGTCCCCACCGTGTCTGACGAGAGACCTGAGCTGGTGGTGAGCAAGGTAAGGGGCCACTTTACACACCAGGTGGAGATGGACTGGTAGATCAGAGCGGATTCGAGTATGGGCCTTGGGAGAAAAGGAGAGAGCAGCTGGCAAGGGTGGAAGGGGTGAAGGAGGGACAGGCCTGCCTGGGTCAGATTGCAGGGAAGAGGAGCAGCACCAGCTGGGGACCAGGCAACCTAGGGCTCGGAAGCGGTCAGGCGCAGAGTGGGAAGCAGGAGGCAGCCAGGGTAGATTGGGGAGTAAGAGAAAAGGAAAGAGAGGTGGGAGGCCCTTTCAGCCTCTCAGGTCTCCAATTTCTTGAGCTGTATTTATTCCTTTACCTCCCCAATCTCCTAGTACCCCTGCTCCCTCCCACCTCCCAGGTCCCACTCCAGGCAACTTCCGGTGTCCACGATTACCAGAAAAATGCCGGTGGAAACAGAACAGGACTAGGATGCATGGCCTGCCATTGTCCTCCTAATTATCGACGGTCCGAATAACTCCAAAAATGGTCAAGCAGCACATTAAAAAGGGATAAGAAAACAAATATTAAATTCCAGACACTGCGCCAAGCACTTCCCAAGCAACATCTCTCATCCCCTGAAAGGGACCCTGAGAGGCAGGTGTTGCATGCCCCACTTCGTAGGTTAAGAAACTGAGGCTCAGGGAGGTTAAGAAATGCAGCCAACGGTTGATACAGCCAAGGTTCAAACTCAGGTGCATGTGGCTCCAGAACTTTTAGCCCTTTGCATATACAAGGCTGCACGGGAGACAATTATATGGATGGACAAAATAATAAAGCAAAATTCCATTCTAAACTTCCTGACAACCAATTAAAAAACAAAAAAAAAAGCAGCACACATTCCATGATTGCGACTGTGGTTGAAACCATCCTCACCCTTGTGACCTGCTCAGCCTCCTCTTTGGTCCACCTATACCCTGCCACCTGCCCCTCTAATCCTCCACCTCTGAGCCCTGCTGGGGTGGTCTTCCTCCGGTCACACCTGGCCACGCTACATGCCTGCTTAATCACCCAGTGACTCCCTGTTGTTTCTGGATCAGTGGCTGAACTCCTTCATGTGACAGGCTATGCCTTGGGAGGCCTCGGGCAGGTCTCATCTGCTCTCATGTCTCACCTGTGAATGGAGTAGTCATATTGGATGTTTTCTAAGTGCTCTCTGAGCTCTGACGATTTGTGGTTTCAGACCCCACACGGAATGCGGCTTGTGGCCAGAATGACTCTTGTGTTTCACTTCAAGAGTCGGGCTAGGGATGAGGGTAAGGACCACAACTGATTCACTTACTTTGGCATCTGCTGGTCCTTGCATTTGAAGTAGTTCTGACACGCAAACGACCTACTTCCAGATTCCTGCACATCCCTCAGGACCCCGTGCACGCATCCCCACTTTGGAGAGGCCCTTCGATTGGTCCCAAGTAGGGCTGGTGACTGCCTCCTACTGTTCCCTTCTGAGTTCCCTCTGTTACACCACCTGCTGTGCTGTGGGCCTGACCCTGTGCTAGATTCTGGGATGTAGGAATGATAATAATAGCTGCAGAGGAAAATCAATCAGACCCCATTAGCATAGCCCTTATTCCGAAATACCAGGCTTTCAAGGCTGTGGAAGAGCCTTCTAACTTAGGGAAGGAAGGTGGATGGAGTGGGAAAGGAACAGCTGCAGGGACAAGGACCTGCGAGGGCCGCCGTGGAACATTCTGTCCATTGAGGTGTCTTTGAGAGCTAGCTACGTTTACTGAGCGCTTAGCATGCATCAGGCTCTGTTCTAAGCACATTGTGTTATTAACTCTAATTGATCTTTACAATGTCAGGAGAGAGGAGGGAAGAACTATTCTTACCCCATTTTATGAATGAGAAGACTAAGACACAGAATGGTTAATGACTTGCCCAAGGCCACACAGCCAGAACACAGTAGAGCAAGGATTTGAACCCAGATGGTCTTTAGCACTCACATGGCCAGCTCTTTATAGCTTTTAAAGTGTGTGCGTGTCTAGTCTCATAAAATCTCTCAGTGACCTAGCAAGACAAGAATGATCGAAATTCTGAGTCTCGCATCACAGATGAGGACAGGAGGCCCTGAGAGAATGGTGCCATGTCCTAGGCAGGAGGAAGGACTGGAACCCTGGACTCTGACCCCTACATCCTCATGGCCGTTGTCATTGTGGATGAGGGGCTGTGTCGGGTTGTTGATTAAAGCTGAGCTCAGCACCAGAGGCCTCTCAGCCCAGCCCCTGAGACAACCCTGGGACATCCCCTTGCTGGCTTGCTCAGAGACATTTTCCACCACCACAGGTATGACACACTCGATGCTCCCATCACAGTGCCGGGGAGGGGGCATGGTGCTCAGGGCTGTGGGAAAGCAGGGCAGGAAGTGCTGAGTGGGGAGAGAGATGCAGGTGGGGGGAGAGAAGTACCCAGTGTACAATTCCAGGAAGCCAGGACGCAGAGAGGAGGGCGGAGCTGGTGGGAGACACATCATCTTCTAGTCCTCCCTGCACCTGGCCTCATGCCAGGCACTGGCTACAGAGAGATGGCTAGCTACTGCCCTGTCTGCAGTCCTCAGCCCTGTGGGTGAGGGAGCCACCGTGGGGGACACAGAGAAGAAACTGACAGTCAGACCCTGCTGCTTGGAAGAAAATCAACCAGAACCTTTACTGGAAATGCCTGGCTGAGGGGAAGCTGCTAACTCAGAGAGGGAGAGTGAAATGATCTACGGGGCTTTGGTGGGAGGGGCTCAGCCGTACTTCAGCTAGTTTGGGATACAGTTGGTTGAGGATGGCCCTTGGAGGAGGGAAAAATTTTTTTTTAGAGATTCATTCATTCATTCACTCAACAGGCATTTACTGAGAACTTATGAAGTGCAGAGCATAGTGCCAGGTGCTGAGGATCCAGCAGTGGACAAAACACTCTCCTCCCTGCCCTGAGGCCCCTGCAGCCCCCTTGGGGCAGCTGGTGTGGTGGTTAAAGCACTATCTCTTAACCTGGCCCACCTGGGTTAAATACTGGTTCTGCAGACTAGCAGCTGTGACCTTGGGCAAATACCTAAACTTCTCAGTGTCTCAATCTTCTCATCTGTAAGAGAGGGGAAGTACCAGGACAGTTGTGAGGATTAAAATGCGAGTATATGTAAAGTATTTGAAAGAGATGGGACAGGCAGAGACAGGGCGACGGGCAGGGGCCGCCCAGGGCTGCAGGTGCGGAGACAGTCGGCTTGCTGGCTGGCCTCTCGCATGCTCTCCACTGTCTTGCTGAGGCCGTTTGGGTGAGGGGACCTGGACACCATTGTAGGTGGGGTTCTGTTGCCTTTCCCCCTCCTCCTCGCCCTTTTCAAACTCTTGCTCCTCACTGTCTCTCTCCCCCAAGCACCTGGGTAGGTCTTGGCGTTTATGGGTTTAAGGTGTGACCTTCCCTAGGGGTTATCCAAACACCCAAAGGGACGAATCTCTGATGAGGGGATTCCAGGAGGTGGGACAAAGGTGAAGTGAAAGTTATCCGGTCTTCCACCCTCCTCTCAATCAC